AAAGAAAGAAAGAAAGAAAGAAAGAAAGAAAGAAAGAAAGAAAGAAGAAAGAAAAGAAAGAGAAAGAGAGAAAAAGAGAAAGAATAAAAGAGAAAGAGAGAGAGAAAAAGGAAAAAGGGAAAGAAAGACAAAGCAAGCAAGAGAGAAAAAGGAAATAAAGGAGAAAGGCAGAAAGAAAGGGGGAGAGAAAAAAGATAACGAGAGAGAAATAGAAGGAGAGAGAGAAAAAGAGAAGGGAGAAAGAGAGGGAGAAATAAAGAGAAATAAAAAGGTAAAGAAAGGGAGAAATAGGAGAGAAAAAGAGAGAAGGGAGAAAGAGGGAGAGATAAAGAGAGATAAAAAGGTAAAGAAAGGGAGAAATAGAAAGAGAGAAGGGAGAAAGAGAGGGAGAGATAGAGAGAGATAAATAGGTAAAGAAAGAGAGAAATAGAAGGAGAGAGAGAAAGGTGGTTTCCTTGTTTAGATTTTGCCTGCTTTTAATCTTGTTTTTGCCAGCCAAATGTTTTGGTTTTCCTTGCATTTCATCCATAAATAAATATCCAGCCATATTTTTCCTGCATGGATTCTTACTCTGACCCAGTGGTGGGATTCACATCATTTAACAACGGGTTCTCTGCCCTAATGATTTCTTCCAACAACCAGTTCACCAAACTGCTCAGCAAGTTAACAACTGGTTTTACTGAGCCAGTGCAAACCGGCTGAATCTCACCACTGCTCTGACCCAAACAGACGGGATTGTCTGGGGACCGGTTGGCTGCAGTGACCCTCCGTTTCCCCAGAAAGACATGCCATGGCTCAAGAGAAAGCATTCCATCCAGCCACGTGCGCTGCCTGAAAACCCCACACCACCTTCCCATGGGGGGTTTCCCTCTCTCCTTAGGAGAAGGCATTGACGAGAAGCATCACCAGCCCGACTTCCGTGTCGGAATGGCTGATCCCCAAGCAGACGGAGCCCGGCAGCCAAATGTCCAACTCCCTGAAGCAGCAGGCGTGGCGCGCACGGACCTTCCACAATCTCTTGGCTCCCTTCCCACAGCTGCAGGAGCAATGGGGCCGCTGGAGCCACAATGGTCCTTTCCCCAAAGCGGACAAAAGTGGAGTGAGTATTGGTGCCTGGGGAGGAAAGGAGGCAGGTGTGAATCCAGGGGCTTGAAACCAGCGGTTCCACCATGGGTTCAAGGCACAGATAGTCCTCGACTTAACGGCCGTTCTCGCCTTGGGGATCCACCCACCCCAGCAACCTCATGGTCACGGGATCGAGCTTGGGGACTGGCACGCGTTGACGGTGGGTGGGGCACCATCCAGGGATCACGTGGGATCTCCATTTGGGGGCCTTCCAACAAGCCAAGCCAATAGGGGAAGCTGGATTGGCCTAATAATCAAGGTGATTCGCTTAATGGCTGTAGAAAAATGGCCGTAAAATCAGGCACAACTCAAGGATGGATGTTCTAAGTCGTACGTCAAGTTCTACTTGTACATAAGAGTGTAACAAAATCTGTGCTGAACCAAACTGGCATTATATGCTCCAGCATATATATCGTATATTCTATCATCTCTCTCTCTCTTTCTCTCTGTGTATATACATACATATACGTATATTTCTCTCTCTGACTCTCTCTCTGTATCTCTATCTATCTACCGGTCTCTCTCTCTGTTTCTCTCTCTGTCTCTCTCTCTCCATCAACTCTGTCATCTATCTACTCATCCACCCATCTGTCTACATTCATAGCTAGCTATCCATATCTGTGTTGTCTATCTCTACTTACAACTCTATCCATAACTATCCATCCATATCCATCCATCCATCCATCCATTTATCTATCTATCAACCTCACACTTTCTCTATTCCATCTTTATTTCTTCCTCTCTCTCATCTGTAACTATCTAACCCAGGGGTCTTCAAACTTGACAGCTTTAAGACTTGTGGACTTCAACTCCCAGAATTCCTCCTCCATTCGTGTTAGTTCAGGAATTCTGGGAGTTGAAGTCCGCAAGTCTTAAACTTGATCTAATCCATACACCTTAAAGGAATGTTGCTTCTCCATTTTCTCTCAAAAAGTTCTTGACACGGATCTTCTCTTCCCTGCCAGGGTTTTTCGACCTCCACCCCAAACCAGCCCATCAGAATTCAGAAAGTTACCTCCCCTGGAGAAGCTGAAGGAACGTCCGAAGGGCCCCGCTTGGAAGGTTTGGCCAGTAACCCATGGACACCCTTGGCCCAGAAACCGCACAAGCTGACCAGTGGTTCTAACTCAAGGAGGTCCCAATTCACAAACCCCTCTTTCGATCTCTTGACCGGTTCTCCTGGTTGCAGCCACCCGAGGCTTCCTGAGCACTCCAAAGTTGAGGCCCCTCTGTCCCTTGTCCGAAATCCCCGCCTGGGAGGGAAGGATGCCCTGGACGCTGCCGCCTTCCGATTGAAAAGCAGCACCATCAACTCTTCCAAGCCCAAGGAGGCTTCTGTAGATGTGGACAGGCCCAAAGTGGTGTTTGCGATTTCTGAAGAAGGAGACGATCAACAGCCTTTGGTTTTGGCAGAGCACGCCAATCAGTGCGCTGACGTTTTGTCCGAGACGAACGCAGTCCTCTGTGAAGGCAGACCGGCCACAAGAAAGGAGCAGATGGTGGACCTATCGCTTGAAGAAGACTCAGAGGAGGCCCCCGGAAGCAGGTTGAGCATGGGTCTGTGGGGGGACCCCTCCTCCAGTTCCTCCCAAGATGATTTTCTGGGCGACGGGGTTGAAACCTATGCTCCAGGCCCAAAACCAGAGCTCCCAGCCCGTTTCGATTCAACGTCTTGTCCGAACGTGCTCTTTTGATCGGGAAGGGTCCTTGTTTTGTGGAACTGGAAGTGGAGACGACCGAATGATCCTTTTGAGATGGAACTGAGTGGTTCTGCCTACAGACATCCAGAGAGACGGCCTTTGGATGCTGCGCTCCACAGCGCTTGCCCAAAAACTTTTGTCTTAAGTTGGATGCAACAATGACGACGGATGTGGCTGCGGAGCACCATTTTCCGGTCCTGAATGCAAGAAAGACCCGCCTGATGTTTCCCCCCCCCCACCTCTGAAATAAGCTTTTTATTTTTTTTTAAAGTTGCGTTTGAATTTGGGGTGCGTGACCAGATCTAAAGCCTATCGGGCTTTAGGTAAAAAGAGACGGTTCTGGATACAATCCTTAGCAAGAGATCCACCAAATTCTGGCCACGATGGATGGAACGGTCTACTGAGGCTTGACTATAGTTTCAAAAAAAGAGGGCAACTTATGGACAGAGCTGGGATAACCAGGGGTGGGTTTCAAAAATTTTTAGCAGGGGGTTCTCTGCCCAGTTGCTGGGCGGGCGTGGCCATGGTGGGCGTGGCCTAGTTGGCCTCCTGCCCCACAGTGAGGGGCGTTTTTGCCTTCCCTGGGCTCTGAAGGCTGACCAGGCCACGCCCACCCAGCAATTGGGCAGAGAAACCCTTGCTAAAAACGGGCTACAGAGGCTCTTTGGAAGCCAGAAATGGACCCATTTCTGGCCTTCCCGAGTTTCCAGGAGGCCTGTTTTTCGCCCTCCCCAAGCCTCATGTGCCCTGCACTTACCTGCATCCCAAACGGGCCAGGTGGGGACTCCTTGGGAGGGGTGGGCGGGGCCAGCCAGGAGTGGGATGTGGGGCTTCTCCAAACTGCACAGAATCTTAGCTAGGGGCTCTTCCGAACCCCTGCAGACCCCAGCAGCCCACCTCTGGGGATAACTAAAAATATAAACAATGCACGCGAGAAGGCAATTGGGGGAGAACTTTAGATTAACATGTTTTATTCAAAGGCGCCGGCTTTTGCGAATCCTCTCTCCCCCCCGCCACTACAGTGAGAAGATGCCGTTTCTGTGGATAGCAATTCCAAAGCCAGCCAACGAAAATACCGCCACCACACCAACGGGGTTTGCAATTCGCACAATCACCCATCACGCCCAGTTGGTGTGAACTTGGATTCAAGTTTGGGTGGGTTGGCGTGTCGCAATGCGCTCAAAAAAAAAAAAATCCGCCGAAGTTGTGAGATTGCCAAAATGTTCCCGTGCCAAGGAAGGACGTTTCGGTGACATTCTGAAAACGGGGCTAAGCCTTTTTTTTTTTTTTTTGAGAAGGCTACTTTCTTCAGATCTGAAGACCGCGATATGTTTTGGAGCAGACGATGGTTCTCACGCCACGCCTACCTATGTAGCTCTTTAAAGCAGCTGCATCTTTTCGGGGATCGCACAATGACAGAATCCGGGGAAAGAGATGCGGCTGGTTTAAAGGTTTGCCGTTTTAAACGCACTATATTTTGAATCGACCCTGCTCCCCATTTTTAAGCCTGGTGTTTGATTCAAATTCCTCACTCGAGAAGATTTTTAAGAAGGGGATCAGTCCGTGACACCTTAATAAATTGCACTTGGAATTACAGTATTATTAGAATGTGGGGTTGCACACTCCAGATTTGTGTTGGTTGAGGGTTTTGAATTGAACGGTAGGTGATGGATAAGATGCTAAGTAAACTTTGCTATGATTTTTACAGCAAGGTGCATGTTTTATTTGCAAGATCCTTGACATTTAGCAACTACAGGTAGTTCTTGACTTACAACAGTTCATTTAGTGACCAAAGGCACTGAAAAAAGCGACTTATGACCACTTTTCACACATACGACCGTTGCAGCATCCCTGTTGAAAATTCACACATTTGGCAATGGACTTGCACTTATGACGGTCGGTCATACAATCCCCCTTTGCGACCTTCTGATAAACGTCAATGGGGAGATCAAATTACCTAACTATTACTAATGTAACAATGGCAGAGATTCACTGTCATAAACGTGGCAAGAAAAGATGTAAAACAGGGCACTTAGCAAGTTTCTCACTTAGCGACATAAATTTTGGGCTCCGCAATGGTCGTAAGTTGAGGACTACCTGTAAAGTTTCTCCATGGGCCACTAAAACAGGGCACCTCTGGGTCTTAATCGCACAACTTTATACCTGAATCAAAACAAAAGTGTTTTGGTTTTTTTTTTTTAACCCGGCTGCATCTAACAGCCTGATTGGTATTTTAATGGCCTTGTCCTGGAATGTGATTTTTAGCTTTTCAGACTCTTCTGAGGCTGGAATAGAAGGGAATGTTATCCAAGCCCTGCATTTGGTTCAGGCAGCTGTTGGAGAAAGTCCCTGAAATATCTGGCTGAAAAACAGGTGCTGAGGGAAGGAATGGGAAAAATCCAGCTCTATCAAATAGAGCATTTTTTTGTTAGCATTTTTCAGGCGCTGTCTGGGAGCTTTAAAACTGGCTCCTAAAATGCTTAACTCAGATTAATGCATTGTTTTCACCTGCTGTTTTAAGCTTCATCTGCTCTAGCGTAGAATACCGGGCACAGTTGTGGAAAGGCTTAAGATTTTTATGTGTGTGTGTGTTGTGTGCACATTTGCACTTTGAAATGAAGTAGCATCTATAGCAGCAGAAGATTTGATGATAGTATGGGGAAATGCAAGCAGAATTTATAGTGCCTTTGAACTGAAACCTAGTTTTTCCTATCCGACTTTAATCGTTCAACATTGCTAGGAATTCCGGTTTGGTTTCAGCAGGACAATCAAATTGAAGGATTCTCCTTCCCCCTACTGTTTCGTGCTGTTTTTGCAAAAAAAATAATATAATAATTCAATTTATAAGAAGTTTGTTTGAGTTTTCTTGTCTCTCCAAAAAGCTGGGGGGGGCGGGGGTTGTTTTTGTATTTGTACGTTTAAAAAAAAAAAGACATTTTCACACATTATAGCTCTGTGATCAGTGCAGAAGGTATGCCTATGTGTAAAAAAAAAAAACTTAAAATACAAAATTCCTAAAATACTTTCCAGCTTTTATACATTATTGGTTTGGGTAGAAAGCAAGCAAGCTGGTAACGGAGTCCATATTTGTAAAACTGCCTCAATTGGTTGCATGCAGTTCCAAATTTGTGCGTCTAAATTCTAAGCCACACACAGGGCAAGAACTGGGTCACTTGTGTGCAATCTCTCCCACAGGTTACCACAGGTAGCTCCCTAACCAGCAGATGGGATCAGAAGTTCGGTTTGCTAAGTAAGGCAAGTTAAGGCTTTTAAGAAAATCAGGTCTGATTTTATGACTTTTTTTTTTTTTTGCATCATGGTTGTTAAAAGCTGTGGCTAAATGAGTTATGCCGTCATTCAACGAAGCTGACTTCATCGACGGCTTATCAGAAGCTGGCTAGGAAAGTTGTTGCAAATGGTGATCAAATTACTCCGGGATTCTGCAACCGCCATAAATAAACGTTGGTTGCCAAAACATCCAAATTTTTATGAACGTGGGGATGTTGTGAAGGACTAGGGGTGACATAATAGCAGTATTCCAGTATTTGAGGGGCTGGCACAAAGAAGAGGGGGTCAAATTATTTTCCAAAGTACCAGAAGGCAGGACAAATGGAAGACTGGTTGTAAGTCACTTTTTTTCCAGTCCTGTTATAACTTCAAACAGCTGGAGGAATACAGGATTGAATACAGAGTTGGAAGGGACTTTGGAGGTCTTCTAATCCAACCCTCTTCTCAACCAGAAGACCTTATACCAATCTTGAGATCATGGTGGTCCAATATCTTCTTAAAAACCTGTGATGGAGGACCCACAGCTTCTGAATGCAAGCCTTCCACGGATTGTTCTAACGATCAGTAAATTTATCTTTAATTCTACGTTGCTTCTCTCCTCGATTAGTTTCCGTAATGGGTGTAAGTTGAGTATTGCCTGCCTTTTGCAATGCAAAAGATGCTAGTTTCATTCTTGATAGGAAGGGGAAAATTTTTTGTTTTAAACATTCTGGAAGTGCCTACCTCTGATTTACTCTTTTGTAAAAGGGAAGAAGCAGCATCTACAGAAATAAATTTTAGTGTCAACGGACAGAGAGGCGAGTGGCATAGCCAACAATTCCCTTTCTTATTACAGGTCGTCCTTAACTTACAACAGTTTGTCTATTTGGAGTAACGACTACGGCACTCAAAAAAAGTGATCGATGGCTGTTTTTCCCGTACGTACAACTGTTGCAGTATCCCCATAGGCAGGTGATCAAAATTTAGATGCTTGGCAAACTGGCTTGTATTTATGATGTGATCACCTCTTGCAACCTTCTGCACAAGCCAAGTTCGTGGAAAGCCAGATTCACTTCACAATTTTGGCAAGAAAAGCTGTAAAACGGGGCCAAAATGACTGGAGGACTGTCTCGTTTAACAACAGAAATTTTGGGGGCTCAACGGGGGTCATACAAGGAGGACTACCTGCACTCATGAGGTGGTCTTCTCATCCACAGAGCAAGCAAGCTCCCTCCCATCGGCTAAGTCTATCAAGCCAATATTTAGTTTGGGATGGCACAACTATAATGATGTATTTCCATCAATCACACAGAAATATTTTGATGGGAATTGGCCTGGAAGGCAAGAGCCAGCCCCAGGGGTGCATTTAAGGTCTCCCCCAATGAACCCAAGCCTGAGATGACATCCAAGGACGAGCAAAGCAATGAAGTCAAACATTGTGCATTTTAATATTTTCCAAAGATAAATCATGAACCCCAAAGCCCAACAGTTATCGGAATTTTCTCCCCCACCCCATTTTCCCAAGCCGCCACCTCGCGTACAAAGGAAACAAAACAGCAAAACGTTTCTTCTGAAGAGCAGATAACAAAACTTTGTAAAGTCCCCACCGCCTATCCTAAGCGTGGGGTGGACCCCCTTAAATCCCCTGGAAGACACTTGTATGATTGGAATGAGGGAGGAAAGGGGAAATTTAGCTGTGGGAAAAGCCAAAACCGCTGTTTTTATTATTCTTCTATTTACATTTTGGCTGGCTACGGAGAGACACGGCAGTTGGACGGCCACGTCAACGGAGAGAAGAGAACAGAATCCTCTTCTCTCTCCTTCTTCAATTTGGAAGGGGAGAAGTCACCTGATGACCTCACCTGGACCTAGCCAGCAGCTAACCTGGGGGAAACCGACATGGCTGTGTGTGGTTTTTTTGCAGTCTCCGTTGTTTCTCCATTCCCTGAGACGGGAAAAACGCACCCGTTGTAACAACGGTTCCATGCCAACATTGATGGCTGCAAGATCCTGCTTTTGTAATTCTCTTGCAGCCAGCGTGGAAGTCTGGGAGACAGGCTGTGTGTCTAGCAGTCCACTTAACATGGTTTGTGAATACAAGGAGGCACGGCTGTGGAAGCCTTTACGTGGCCTTTTACTGAAACAGGCTCATGATTAGAAAGAAAACCCCCCCCCCCCCCCAAACCTGGCCACTTTAAGACTTGTGGACTTCAACTCCCAGAATCCCCCAGCACGGGGAAGTCGAAGTCCACAAGTTTTAAAGTTTCCAATTTTGGAGAGCCCTGCTGTAACAGGATAATCCTTGGAAGCTCTATATTTTTTTTAAAGGGGAGCAAAAAAAAAAGTCTGCAGATAGAAAAACGAACCAATCCTTACCGAACATCTTTAACATAAAGGGCATTAAATCTTGGAGGGACCTGTGGCTTTCTCTTTGGACCACTCCTCACGCTAGCTCTTCAAGACCAAGCACTGAAAGATTACTATTTCAGTGCATAAAAATATAAGGCGGATTGGGTTCAATGTTGAATAACTGCGCCCAGCACATTATTCTGTTAAATCCTCTTGAATTTGAGAGCAGAGGAAAAAAAAATAGCGTGTAACTTTAGTGTATTGGAAATGAGGCTCCTATTACTATAAAGTTGTGTTTCTCCTGCCACTTTAAGATGGGTGGACTTCAGCTCCCAGAATCCCCCAGGAGTTGAGGTCCACCCATCTTTAAAGTGGCCAAGGTTAAGAAACACAGCTATAAAGGAAGACAAGATCCTGGCTACGGAACCAGCGTATAGATGCAAATGTTTTAAACAATAGGAAGACTGCAGAGAAATGGGATTCGGCATAGCCTTCTCCCAATCAATCGGTAAGCTTTTGAGATTGCAACTTACAAATCAATGAGTTGTCCTGGCCACGGTTAAACTATCTCAGGATTCTGGTGCATGGAATTCCCAACACATCTGAAAGACTCCAGGTTAGAAAAGATCCATTTTGGATACAGTTATGGCTGAATTTAAGCTACATTGGGAGTTGTAAGAAGAGGGAAAAAGGCTTGTCTATCTTTATCCAGGCTTCCTAAGGGTTACATTGGTCCCTTTCTCTCCCTCTCTCTCCTTAAAATGTGCCCAACAGTGGAAGCAGAACTCTGTGCAAGCACTAAATTATTTCAAAAGCAATTCTGGTTATGCAAGTTATCCATTATTCACAGTTGCTCTTGTTGAAGGACAGCCTTAAACGTTAAGTTAGGAGAGAGGTCACTCTGACCTGATTAAAACAATGGATATGGATATATGCAGAGATACACTTTCCTGTCTTACCATCCTCCAAAATTGATGGTGCTGCTTCTATTTTAGGGACAACAAAAATAGCCCTGGAGAAATCAGGAATAGCCCTGGAGAAATCAGGATAAAAGCTGGTAATATTCACGTCCTGTGCTCAGCAACGGTATTGAAGAGTCTTCAGTATCAGTTGGATTATGCCAAATCCCCTTCCATCGTGAAGACTTCTTTATCATCAGGGGATTTTTTTTTTAAAAAAGGAATTTCTAGTGGAATTTGACCAGTAAGGGGGGGGGGGGGGGAATGCATAGTTGTTTTGAAGCATAACTCCCAACTGCTAAGAACAGAAATTCCTGGGGTGGGGTGGGGACTTTCTCTTGGAGCCCAAAGAAAAGGTGGCGGAGGTGAAATTCAGCACCAGTCTGAATCCTAGAATTGAGCAGGAGGAAAAGAAATGACAGGATCTGAGGAAGAAGGAAAAAAAGACTAGAATAAAAAGAGAAAAGAATGAAACAATTGGATCTTTCCTATCAAAGGAGGCTAGACAAATACTGGACAGCAGCATTTAAGAGAGACATGTGGAGTGTGTCAAGGAAGAACAAGGCACCCTAAGATTGTGTTTCTCAACGGCGGCCATTTTTAGACGGGTGGACTGCCAACTCCCAGAGTTCCTTATCCAACATGGCTGGCTGGGGAGGTCTGGGAGTTGAAGTCCTCATGTCAACATGCCCACGGCAGAGAAATACGGCCTTAAGCAGTCAGTGCTTAGTGTTGGACAGACCTTGGTCAATCCAGCTGTGATCTTTGACCGAGGAGCCAAGGAGTCTAGGCCGTCAATTCCGGCAAGATGTTGCGTTGGTCCAAGAAATTGACAAGACGCACGGCAATGCCCAACAAGGAACCGAGGACATGCTTCCTTCTTGCCTTCTCAATAAGGCCTTGCTTCGTTCCACAATCAATGTTCCCGAGAATTGTTCCATTTCTACCATTCAGCCTCGTGCAGCGAGTCCTTCAATTCCTAGAGTCGCTCAAATTCAGGAAGAAAACAGGGGCAGCCACATCTTTCTGGCCTTCAAAACAAAACCACTTTTTTTAAAAGAAAAAAAAATAAAGCCAAGGAGAATACAGGGTGGCAGAAAAAAAATGACAAAACAATAATGGTAAGGAGGGGGGAAAAAAGCACATCAGAGTACCTGATGTAAAAAGTTGCCAATCCCCCCCCTTTTTTTTTGTGGGAACAACCTGGCAAAAACTGTAGAGTTGGCGTTTCTGGTTTAATTTTCCCATCCTCTACAAGCAGGGAGACCAGTTAAAACGCCCCGGGAATCCTTCTCAGTTTTTGAATCGTGTTTGTTCACAGATGTGATTGAACTTCCTGAAATTAAAAACCCAAGAAGAGAAAGTTAGTTAGGGTTTTGG